GTTTGTGGTATACAAAAGAAAGAGGGGGAGAAATACGGTCACAGACCGTGGTAGGGTTACAATAGCTGAAAACATGTAACAACTTTACAGGTTATTTAGGGGAAAAAAAAGATTTTTAATTTAAAAGAAAAAAGAAACAAAGAATAAAAGTGGAAAATGAACAAAAGGAAACAATGTGTTAATAATGCATTTACATTGTAAAACCTGGAGGTGAAAGGTGGAGGGTGAAAGGTGGAGGGTGAAAGGTGGAGGGTGAAAGGTGGAGGGTGAAAGGTGAAAGGTGGAGGGTGAAAGGTGGAGGGTGAAAGGTGGAGGGTGGAGGGTGAAAGGTGGAGGGTGAAAGGTGGAGGGTGAAAGGTGAAAGGTGGAGGGTGAAAGGTGAAAGGTGGAGGGTGAAAGGTGGAGGGTGGAGGGTGAAAGGTGAAAGGTGGAGGGTGAAAGGTGAAAGGTGGAGGGTGAAAGGTGAAAGGTGGAGGGTGAAAGGTGAAAGGTGGAGGGTGAAAGGTGAAAGGTGGAGGGTGAAAGGTGAAAGGTGGAGGGTGAAAGGTGAAAGGTGGAGGGTGAAAGGTGAAAGGTGGAGGGTGAAAGGTGAAAGGTGGAGGGTGAAAGGTGAAAGGTGGAGGGTGAAAGGTGAAAGGTGGAGGGTGAAAGGTGAAAGGTGGAGGGTGTGATCATGTGATCATGCCGATCGTTCTGTTACCCCACAGAGAGGAATTCTGTGAAGTCTTCAGAGCCAAAGACAAATCATCGGGAAAATTCTACACCTGCAAACGCTTCCTGAAGAGGGATGGGCGCAAAGTCCGGAAGGCGGCCAAAAATGAGATCAACATCCTGAAAATGTGAGTTGCAGGGACCCGTCCCCTATATACCTGTATATACCCCCCTGTAGGGATTATCCCCTATATATACCTCCATACCCCCCTGTAGGGATTATCCCCTATATACCTGTATATACCCCCCTGTAGGGATTATCCCCTATATACCTGTATATACCCCCTGTAGGGATTATCCCCTATATATCTGTATATACCCCCTGCTGGGTAATTATCCCCTATATACCTGTATATACCCCACTGTGGGAATTATCCCCTATATACCTGTATATACCCCCTGCGGGTATTATCCCCTATATACCTGTATATACCCCCTGCGGGTATTATCCCCTATATACCTGTATATACCCCCTGCGGGTATTATCCCCTATATACCTGTATATACCCCCTGCGGGTATTATCCCCTATATACCTGTATATACCCCCTGCGGGTATTATCCCCTATATACCTGTATATACCCCCTGCGGGTATTATCCCCTATATACCTGTATATACCCCCTGCGGGTATTATCCCCTATATACCTGTATATACCCCCTGCGGGTATTATCCCCTATATACCTGTATATACCCCCTGCGGGTATTATCCCCTATATACCTGTATATACCCCCTGCGGGTATTATCCCCTATATACCTGTATATACCCCCTGCGGGTATTATCCCCTATATACCTGTATATACCCCCTGCGGGTATTATCCCCTATATACCTGTATATACCCCCTGCGGGTATTATCCCCTATATACCTGTATATACCCCCTGCGGGTATTATCCCCTATATACCTGTATATACCCCCTGCGGGTATTATCCCCTATATACCTGTATATACCCCCTGCGGGTATTATCCCCTATATACCTGTATATACCCCCTGCGGGTATTATCCCCTATATACCTGTATATACCCCCTGCGGGTATTATCCCCTATATACCTGTATATACCCCCTGCGGGTATTATCCCCTATATACCTGTATATACCCCCTGCGGGTATTATCCCCTATATACCTGTATATACCCCCTGCGGGTATTATCCCCTATATACCTGTATATACCCCCTGCGGGTATTATCCCCTATATACCTGTATATACCCCCTGCGGGTATTATCCCCTATATACCTGTATATACCCCCTGCGGGTATTATCCCCTATATACCTGTATATACCCCCTGCGGGTATTATCCCCTATATACCTGTATATACCCCCTGCGGGTATTATCCCCTATATACCTGTATATACCCCCTGCGGGTATTATCCCCTATATACCTGTATATACCCCCTGCGGGTATTATCCCCTATATACCTGTATATACCCCCTGCGGGTATTATCCCCTATATACCTGTATATACCCCCTGTAGGGATTATCCCCTATATACCTGTATATACACCCCTGTATACCTGTGCTGAATCTGTGCCTCTCTGCCCCCCCTTTCATCCCTCGCAGGGTGAAGCACCCCAACGTCCTGCAGCTGGTCGATGTGTTTGAGACAAAGAAGGAATATTTCATCTTCCTGGAGCTGTGAGTATTTTCTGTGACCCCCGTCAACGCTTCACCCGACCAAAATCTATACAAACCTGTAAAGCCTCCTTCTCACAGCTAGGGGGAGCCCTCAGACCCGATGCCAGCAGTGGGCGGAGCTATGACCATTGTGCGCTTACATGCGTTCTCCATGCGCCATGGGAATGTACTTTGATGCAGCACAGGATGACGGGAGGCTCATGCAGTTTGGGGGGCGATACTCTCGCCGTGGCGCGATCGGGGAGGGCACAGCGGGTCAGGACTGAGAGCAGAGGGCCCGCGTAGATGTTACATATAGGTACATAGTACTCATCATGGGCTGAACAGACACCGCGCCATCCACGCCAACCTGTGATGTCTGCGTGTACGGTGCGTTGTAGCTCCGTGACACCTCACCGATCCCCGAGGAAGGATAATGTATCGTTATGTTTCAGTGATGATCTGCAAAGCGTGGAGCAATCCAAAGAATGTGACGTTGTGTCTCCTGTGGGTTTGGAAGCTAATAGGAGATGCCAACAGCCAGCAACATAGGGTGACAACTCTTATTCTGCACTTTACCAGCAACATAGGGTGACAACTCTTATTCTACACCTTACCAGCAACATAGGGTGACAACTTTTATTCTACACCTCTCCAGCAACATAGGGTGACAACCCTAATTCTAGACCTTACCAGCAACATAGGGTGACAACTCTTATTCTACACCTTACTAGCAAGAAAGGGTGACAACTCTTATTCTACACCTTACCGGCAGCAAAGGGTGACAACTCTTATTCTGCACCTCATCAGTAACATTGGGTGACAACTTTTATTCTGCACCTTACCGGCAGCAAAGGGTGACAACTCTTATTCTGCACCTCATCAGTAACATTGGGTGACAACTTTTATTCTGCACCTTACCGGCAGCAAAGGGTGACAACTCTTATTCTGCACCTCATCAGTAACATTGGGTGACAACTTTTATTCTGCACCTTACCGGCAGCAAAGGGTGACAACTCTTATTCTACACCTCATCAGTAACATTGGGTGACAACTCTTATTCTACACCTCTCCAGAAAAGTTATACAAGAATTCTGATTGGTCACTTTGGGCATCGTCATCTCTTCTCGCGTTCTCCGGGTTTGGTGAGTCGGACCCCCTTTGTGCGTTTCCTCATCCGATAAACGTGGTCACTCTTGGATCACTATCTTGCTGCGTTCATACTCGGGCGTAACTAGGTGAACGATCCAGTACCTCAGACGGCCCTGCTCTGGTGTATCACTGCAGCACTTCTAATATTCCAATCATGTCTCGGGCAGTGGGAATGTCCTGCAGAAGGAGCTGGGAGTGGAATCAGAAGTCTGGCAGCGGGTGATATATTCTCGTGGACAGGAAATTGTCATTGTCGGTATTATCTGCTATCGGGCCGCACAGAGCAGTCGCTGGAGCTGAGGCGCATTGCAGTCTCCGAACGTCGGCTGCCTCCGGGAGATACACGGCGCTGGGGCGACACACAGTGGCAGAACTGAGAAGTGCAGCGCAGGCCTGATACACAGGGCAGCACAGTCACAGCGTGTCACAATGGTCCCTCTGCACACTTCAATGGTCCCTCGGCACAGTTCAATGGTCCCTCGGCACAGTTCAATGGTCCCTCGGCACACTCCAATGGTCCCTCTGCACACTCCAATGGTCCCTCTGCACACTCCAATGGTCCCTCTGCACATTCCAATGGTCCCTCTGCACAGTCACAATGGTCCCTCTGCACAGTCACAGCGTGTCACAATGGTCCCCCTCTGCACAGTCACAGCGTGTCACAATGGTCCCTCTGCACAGTCCAATGGTCCCTCTGCACAGTCACAATGGTCCCTCGGCACAGTCACAATGGTCCCTCGGCACAGTCACAATGGTCCCTCTGTACAGTCCAATGGTCCCTCTGCACAGTCACAATGGTCCCTCTGCACACTCCAATGGTCCCTCTGCACAGTCACAGCGTGTCACAATGGTCCCCCTCTGCACAGTCACAGCGTGTCACAATGGTCCCTCTGCACAGTCCAATGGTCCCTCTGCACAGTCCAATGGTCCCTCTGCACAGTCACAATGGTCCCTCGGCACAGTCACAATGGTCCCTCGGCACAGTCACAATGGTCCCTCGGCACAGTCACAATGGCCCCTCGGCACACTCCAATGGTCCCTCGGCACACTCCAATGGTCCCTCTGCACAGTCCAATGGTCCCTCTGCACAGTCCAATGGTCCCTCTGCACAGTCACAATGGTCCCTCGGCACACTCCAATGGTCCCTCGGCACAGTCACAATGGTCCCTCGGCACACTCCAACGGTCCCTCGGCACACTCCAACGGTCCCTCGGCACACTCCAACGTTCCCTCGGCACAGTCCAATAGTCCCTCTGCACAGTCACAATGGTCCCTCTGCACAGTCACAGCGTGTCACAATGGTCCCCCTCTGCACAGTCACAGCGTGTCACAATGGTCCCTCTGCACAGTCCAATGGTCCCTCTGCACAGTCCAATGGTCCCTCTGCACAGTCACAATGGTCCCTCGGCACAGTCACAATGGTCCCTCGGCACAGTCACAATGGTCCCTCGGCACAGTCACAATGGCCCCTCGGCACACTCCAATGGTCCCTCGGCACAGTCCAATGGTCCCTCTGCACAGTCCAATGGTCCCTCTGCACAGTCCAATGGTCCCTCTGCACAGTCACAATGGTCCCTCGGCACACTCCAATGGTCCCTCGGCACAGTCACAATGGTCCCTCGGCACACTCCAACGGTCCCTCGGCACAGTCCAATAGTCCCTCGGCACACTCCAATGGTCCCTCGGCACAGTCCAAACAAACCACAATGCCCAAGACAGCTGGTGTCCATGTGTCCCTAATCTTGGATATCAATAATAACACATTAGCTTAGTGGTTATCGCTGGGGTCCTGGGCTTAATTACCTCCAGGAACTCTATTTGCCTGGAATTTGTACATTCCCCCAGATTTCCGGAGATGAGTTGGGTTTCCTCAAAGGGGAACCAGATCCCTATCACAACCCCAAAAATATATATTAGCTTCTGACTAAACTACAATGCACCAAACTGGAGCCACTGAGGAGCCAGCTATGCCCTGTGAGGACTGGCTCCTCAGTGGCTCCAGTTTGGTGCATCTGGACGGGTGTTGATTACAGGTATTTATATAGCGCCGACAATTTACACAGCACTTTACATAGTTACACATTCACATCGGTCCCTACCCTCAAGGAGCTTACCATCTAAGGTCCCTTATCTCACATACATACATAGAGGGCCAACTTAGAGAGGAGCCAATTAACCTCCCAGCGCGTCTTTGGAGTGTGGGAGGAAACCGGAGTACCCGGAGGAAACCCGCACAGCACCGGGAGAGCATGCAAACTCCTCGCAGATAGTGACCTGGCCGGGATTCGAACCAGGGACCCCCCGTGCTGCAAGGCAGAAGCGCTAAGCACTCCGCCACTGTGCTGCCCAGGGTATTGCCCAGAAGCAGTGCCAGTGCCAGTCCCAGTCCTGGAAGGTCACTGATCCAGCAAAGGAGAGCCGGGCTCTGGGACCATTTCTGAGAGTCAGACAATAGCAGCTTCCAGAGCTGGAGCCTCAACTGTGACAAGTAACAGCCACCGTGACAGGTTCTCTTTCATTGATAGTTGGTTTCTGATTGGTTAGTGAACACCTGAATGTGCCGCTACCTGGTATTGCGCATTCATGTTCCAGAGCAGAGTCACAGACGCCCGTGCGATGGGAGCCATAACTGACCAATAGGGAAGCTCGAGAGGAAGAAGGAGGTTGGGCCAAGCCTGACTTCTACAGAAAAAGTCACAATTTGCCTGAACTTCAGGAACCTTTATCTTTGTCTCCTGACGTTTTTGGACATTGTCCTGAAGGTGATCGCTCAGTTATTGCCCCGGTTATAAGCTCAGTTATTGCCCCGGATATAAGCTCAGTTATTGCCCCGGTTATAAGCTCAGTTATTGCCCCGGTTATAAGCTCAGTTATTGCCCCGGATGGTGACACGACTTAGTTGTAGACTTGTCCTCGGGCTGCACATTTTAGAGGACATTGAAGAGAGTTGATGGAGCGGATTATGATGGTACCTCCATGTTTACATTCCTGGGGAATAGGAAGGTTCACTTCAAGGTCATTGAAAGTCTAAAATTCCATAACAATAGGATTTCCCTTCTTATTGTATCAATGGTGCTTGGACGTAGAAGAAGGGGGGGGGGGGGTAGGAACATTCCATGCCCGGACTGAGAGGAACATTCCATGCCCGGACTGAGAGGAACATTCCATGCCCGGACTGAGAGGAACAGCCCATGCCCGGACTGAGAGGAACATTCCATGCCCGGACTGAGAGGAACATTCCATGCTCGGACTGACAAGAACATTTCATGCCTGGACTGACAAGAACATACCATGCCCGGACTGAGAGGAACATTCCGTGCCCAGACTGAGAAGAACATTCCATGCCCGGACTGAGAAGAACATTCCATGCCCGGACTGAGAAGAACATTCCATGCCCGGACTGAGAAGAACATTCCATGCCCGGACTGAGAAGAACATTCCATGCCCGGACTGACAAGAACATACCATGCCCGGACTGACAAGAACATTCCATGCCCGGACTGAGAGGAACATTCCATGCCCGGACTGAGAAGAACATTCCATGCCCGGACTGACAAGAACATTCCATGCCCGGAGAGACAAGTCCTAATTATAAAGTAGAATCTCTCCCTATTGACCTGGAAGCAGAGTGACGCACAGATGTCACAGGAGATGAGGGAAGGTCTCTTCTCCCGGCAGGTAGATTATCATTTCCGAGCCCCAGACCTCCCTCGGGCTTCCTCTCCTTTCCATACGCTGGTCACGGATTGTTCCGGAGTGTATAGTAAACACAGCCATTGTCATGTAGATCCGTGTCACTTCCACCTCTGAACAGAGGTCAACCCGAGTCTTCTGCCTTTGATCATCCAACAACGGACACCAAAGCCGTCTTCACTCCCCGCTAGAAGCCATTCAATACACATGCGGGCCCATTCACTCTGCACTCGCCCCGCTTCCGTCTCTGGGAGAACATCGTGTATAGAGATGAAGGGACCTCCTCTCACCTCGGGGGAAACTATTTCAGAGAGACCCCCAATAACTCCATTGTATCATCGATCTGGATGTATTTATCATTGCTGCACATTGCTGCCAGGGCCGGATTTACTCTCCCTGCCGCCCCAAGGCCAGGTCCTGTGATGCGCCCCCCCGCGCAAACCCCCCCCTCCCTTCCCATCAATGGAGAATGGCAACCAGATTTCAGGCCCCGGTGGCCTTGTGGGGAATCCGGGCCTGATGATCGCTATTCCCTAATGTTGTGTCAGACAAATGCCACCAGAAACCTTGCTGAGACGCCTGCTGAGATACAACCAATTATAATTGCATTATATCCAGTCAATCTAAGCCAACGGCGAGAGAAAAGCAAGAGTATAGCACAGCCAAGAAGGAAGCAAAACATTTATATGTAACAAACAAGGCTGTATGTGTGATGGGGCCCCATAGCAAAACCATTCGTGCGGCCCCTGTCTCTTTCATCTTCATCTCAAAGGCAATTCCTCGAATGGTACAGGATGCTAATTGTTTTCATATAATCTTCAATCATATACAGTAGAGCAGCGGTTCTCAACCTGTGGGTCGTGACCCACTAGTGGGTCCCAACCCACAGTTGAGGGGGTCCCCTTGTGCTGCTCTAGGTAAGAGGCTCCTCAGCCCCCGCCTAGCGCAGCAGTGTCAGTGCTCCTAGATTGCACTGCAGCAGCAGGAGAGGATCAGAGAGAGGGGAGCAGGCAGGAGTGAGGGGAGGTGAGTGCTTGATCACCACAGAGCCCACACTGGGCACCACAGAGCCTATACTGGGCACCACAGAGGCTGCACTGGGCACCACAGAGCCTATACTGGGCACCACAGAGGCTGCACTGGGCACCACAGAGCCTATACTGGGTGCACAGAGCCTATACTGGGCACAACAGAGCCCACACTGGGCACCACAGAGCCTATACTGGGCACCACAGAGCCCACACTGGGCACCACAGAGGCTGCACTGGATGCCACCAGAGAGTCCCACTAGCCACCTGAGAGCCCCCATAGCCTTCTGAGAGCCCACACAGATACTGGTATTGGTGCATCCTTAAATTTTACGGTTGGGGGGTCACCACAACTTGCCAAATGTTACCAAGGGGTCCCAGCCCTAGAGAGGTTGAGAACCACTGCAGTAGAGGTTCCAAAAGGATATATATACTCGTCAAAAGCCATTCCTGCACGGTGTAACTAGAAAGATTTGGGCCCCCACTGTGCTTTTGGGCCCCATAGCAATGACGTGGCCGTGGTTTTGTTCTTGATAGGCAGCAGTAGAAGTCACTGTAGATACAGAATGACAAGCAAGGTTTACAAAGCTTAAAGGAGAACTATGGGGTCAGGGCTTTTCCCCATAGTTCTCCTAAGGCAGGGGTGGCCAAACTCCGGCCCTCCAGCTGAGGTAAAACTACAAATCCCATGATGCATCTCTCTCCAGGAGTCATGTCTGTGGCTGCGAGAATTTTGCAATGCCTCATGGGATATGTAGTTCCACCACAGCTGACGGGCCGCAGTTTGGCCACCCCTGTCCTAAGGGTAACGGGAGGACACAAACTAGCGTCCTCCCGTCACCCAAAGCTCAGTATATAGGGAGCTGCAGCTCGCGGTATACTGAGACGCCGCAGCCGGGACGGATCCCGACATTAGTGTCTGGATCCGCCCAGCTGCGTGACTGACAGCTGGCTCTGCCTATCTAGAGGCAGAGCCAGCTCTACCCGCCCCCTCCCCCGTCCGTTCCGCCAGTCAGCGCTGGAGGATCGGACAGGGGAGGAGTGGCAATCCCTGCAGGGAGCCGTGAGTGACAGTCACGGCTCTCTGCAGGGACAGGATCGGGAAGTGAGCGAGCGACGGTATGTGTTCCCGATCTATTGAGCCGACCTGTGACATAGTTCTAGCCAACCTGTATCGCAGGTCGGCTAGTACTATGAGGATGAGTGAAAATCACTCCCCTCATAATTCTCCTTTAAGACTCATGACTAAGGTTGTCTCAGCTGATCACCTTCACATGCAAAACCTTCAAAAGTCCTCGGATCCCTTATATGATAACAGGAAATCCTTGCCTCTTCCTACGGTGCCCTAGATAACATCTGTTTACTGTTTGTTCCACATCCAGAGCTTCAGGCCGGGAAGTGTTTGACTGGATCCTGGATCAGGGTTATTACTCGGAGAAGGACACAAGTAACGTCATCCGGCAGGTCCTGGAGGCTGTGGCCTATCTTCATTCACTGTGCATTGTGCACAGGAACCTCAAGGTGAGGGATAGGAATTGAGAGGATTAGGACAAAGGGTGGAAAAAGACCCAGATTCCAGGGTGGAGAGGGCTCCAGGACCTAGGATAGAAAGGGCCACATGCTCAGTGGGGACATGGCCACAGGACAAGGCAAGAGAAGGCCCCCGGGGTGGTGAGAGTCTCAGAACCAAGGGTGGAGAATGCTCAATAATTCAGGGTGGAGAGGGCCCCCATGCTCTGGTATGGAGAAGACTTTAGGACCCAGGGTGGAGAGAGCCCAATGCTCCAGAGTGGAAAAGGTTGTAAGAACCAAGGATGGAGAGGGCCCCATGCTCCAGGTTGGAGAAGGCTTTAGTATCCAGGATGGAGGGGGCCCCATGCTTTAGGGTGGAGAAGGTTTTAGGATCCAGGATGGAGAAGGCCCATGTTCCAGAGTAGAGAAGGTTTCAGAAACCAGGATGGAGAGGGCCCCATGCTTCAGGGTGGAGAAGGTTTTAGGATCCAGGATGGAGAAGGCTTCAGGATCCAGGATGTAGAGGGCCCCATGGTTTAGTGTCTAGAAGGTTTTAGGATCCAGGATGGAGAAGGCCCATGCTCCAGGGTGGAGAAGGTTTCAGGATCCAGGGTGTAGAGGGCCCCCTGCTCCAGAGTTGAGAAGGTTACAGGAACCAGGAAGGAGAAGGCCCCATGCTCCAGGGTGGAGAAGGTTTTAGTATCCAGGATGGAGAGGGCCCCATGCTTCAGGGTGGAGAAGGTTTCAGGAACTAGGAAGGAGAGGGCCCCATGATCCAGGGTGGAGAAGGTTTTATGATCCAGGGTGTAGAGGGCCCCATGCTCCAGAGTAGAGAAGGTTACAGGAACCAGGATGGAGAGGGCCCATGCTCCAGGGTGGAGAAGGTTTCTGGAACCAGGAAGGCGAGGGCCCCATGCTCCAGGGTGGAGAAGGTTTTATGATCCAGGATGGAGAGGGCCCCATGCTCCAGGGTGGAGAAGGTTTTATGATCCAGGAAGGAGAGGGCCCCATGGTTTAGGGTGGAGAAGGTTTTAGGATCCAGGATGGAGAAGGCCCATGCTCCAGGGTTGAGAAGGTTTTATGATCCAGGGTGTAGAGGGCCCCATGCTCCAGAGTAGAGAATGTTTCAGGAACCAGGATGGAGAGGGCCCATGCTCCAGGGTGGAGAAGGGTTCAGGAACCAGGAAGGAGAGGGCCCCATGCTCCAGGGTGGAGAAGGTTTCAGGAACCAGAATGGAGAGGGCCCATGCTCCAGGGTGGAGAAGGTTTCAGGAACCAGGAAGGAGAGGGCCCCATGCTCCAGGGTGGAAAGGGTGCCAAGAGTAAGGGTGTGGAGTGTCCCATGCCCCAGGGTGGTGGGTAAGAGCCCTAGGGAAACCAGTGCAATGGTAAATTCAGGCAGGTTATGACGCTGGTTTGGGACTTCCTAATAACGTTGTGGGTGTCGGCCTTTTGTCCCTCCAGTTGGAGAACTTGTTGTATTTTAATCGTCTGAAGAATTCCAAAATAGTCATCAGCGACTTTCATTTGGCTAAAGTGGAGAGAAGCCTCATCAAAGAGCCGTGTGGGACCCCCGAGTACCTGGGTGAGGTCCTCTTCCTGTGTGACCCCCCCTATGTGTCTCTTCCTGGCACTGCATTCACCTCCTCTAAAGCGTTCACGCGTTTGTCTCTTCGCAGCCCCAGAGGTGGTCGCGCGCCAGCGATACGGACGACCTGTTGACTGCTGGGCTATCGGAGTTATAATGTACATACTGTGAGTCATCATCTGTCTTATTACCTCGGGATATCTCTGTATGTAATAATACATCAAAGGCCCCATTCACACTGCGCGATTCGCAAATCGCGCGTTTGTCGCATCTGTTCGCAAATCTGTTGAGCAAGCTTGAATCGCGGCTAAATCCGCTCCAAAAAGGGTCCTGCTGTAGCGACGCACGACCCGCGACAGCAGGACCCTTTGCCCCATTGAGAAGCATTGGAGAGCGATATCGCGCAGTAAATTGCCGCGATATCGCGGGAATTACCGAGCGATAAATCGCTCAATGTGAACGGGGCCTTAAGTGATACAATAAACACGCACACCTAAACCATCGAAGCATGAATGGAAACTGTCAGAGTGCCCTCAGCCTTCAATGAACACAACTGTAACAAAGCGAAAACCTGATTGGTGCATGTGGGTAGCGCAGTCAATAGTTAGGTTGTAGAAAGCTGACCGCACTTTCCATTGCCAGCAGTTGTGAAGATTCTATGGTCACGGCCCCGCCTCCCGCTTGCTCTAGGACAGCGAATGATGCTCCTCCCCCTCCTGTGCACCCACCATGGCAGCTCCCCTTCCTGCCTCTCCTCTTGATTATTAAGCGCTGATATAAAATCCCTAAAATCTTCATATATTCATATAGACACATTGTATGAAACGATCTTCAACGATAGCGATTGCGTTACTCTAAGCAACCAATCAGAGGGCAGACGTCAGGGCTTACTATGGATGGGTATAGACAATGCGAGGAGCAAATCGACTTCAGTCCCTCCGATACGGGATTTGCAGTGTGATGTTTGTGGTTTCTCCTCGGCAGGCTCTCTGGGAACCCTCCGTTCTACGATGAGACGGAGGAGGAAGATTACGAGAGTCACGACAAGAACCTGTTCCGGAAGATTCTACACGGCGATTATGAGTTTGACTCTCCATACTGGGATGATATTTCCCTAGCAGGTGAGTGCAAAGCTCGGCATGCAGATAGGTGACTGTAATGTTGGCGGTTTACCTGTGACAATTTACTCTTCCGGCAGCCAAAGATCTGGTGTCCCGTCTGATGGAGGTGGACCAGGACCAGAGGGTGACAGCGGCGGACGCCATTAGCCATGAATGGTGAGGCCTCCATGTCATCACTGTCACCTATTATTGTGTTTAGGGTACAGCCAGTGGCGTAACAATTGCCAAAGCGACCCAGGCGGATGATTTGGGGCCCGGGCACAGGGGGGCCCGGCCAGGGCATCCCTCTGATGCCGTGTGGGCCGCCTGGGTCGCTATGGCCTATCGGGTTTCTGGCTATCACTGACACAGCTCAGCAGCGGCCGCGAAGAGGAACAGCCAGTGAGAGCCAGCAGCTGCTGCAGAAGAGGCCGGCGTTCGGAGTGAAGGAGGTTGTCCTAAGAGCTAGTGATG